TTCAAAAGCTTCTCCTGCTGTGTTGCCCCACACGATGACCTGACCAGCAGGCAGGTCAGCCAGCCTGGGCCTGGTAAGGAAATTGGGCGATTTTCTGTTCTTTGAAAAAGCCGAAGTAACAATAACCTAAACAGCATCCGCCACGCATCTGCCATCCCGCTTGCTGAAGCCTGCACAGTGAGCAGCGTGGTTGTGTTCTGGTTCCTGGGGTGCCGGGTGTTCACATGAACCTCACAGAGGTACTGCTGGTCTGTAAGCCAGGGGAGGCATCATTTGACCTCCCAGGGAAGGGCACCCTGACCAGTCGCAGGGCCGTGGTGGGGCTCCAACTGCGGTTACCCTCGCTGCGGGCCCAAGGGGGCCATCTGCACCATAGCCAGCCAGTAACACTGCCGCATGGACTACGCGTACCAATGAAAGTCAGGCCCTTGGGGTTATATTTACAATAATATCAAGAACAATTTGCATAAGAAAAGTGGCAAATATTGATACACATCCTTAAGAGTGACAGGCTAGTAGGTTTCCTCACCCCAGCCTCAAGGTTGGAGCCAGAATCAAGAGTTAAATGGGTATGATCAACTAGTATCTAAAAGCCAGTCCTCTGTGTCAGGATAGAGTAGGAAACACCAGGCAATTAGAAGGGAGACAGAGTCCACACAAGCCAGAATAACTTAAAGCAATACCCCCTTAAAAAAAAAATAAAACAACAAAACCAAAACATGTCCCAGTTTAAAAAAAAAAGAGAATCCCAGCCTATATTGTTTCCCTTCCTAGTGTATTTAAGTGCTACAAAACACTAGCATGAACAGCACTATGTAGGTAGAACCAGGATAGTTGTTTTTAAGACAAGAGTTACCATAGCAAACATTAAGTTATCAGTAGCTCCGTGAAAAGGCACAGAGCCCACTTCTTTAAGCCTTTATCCACACTTTTAAAGAGCATTAACCTTACTGGTGAAATTATGTGGCAAGCTCTTAATTAAAATGCAATTTCTTGAAGAGGGCTCATCTTAGATAAACTTTTTCCAGCATCCCAATAAGAGCAGGTTGTTTTTCACTTGCAAAAGATTATTGTAACTCAAGCTTATCAGCTTTTATAGCTACAATGCAAATAAAAGTCCAGGCCATAGCTGTGGAAAGTTTACAGTGTTAGAAAACAAACAGAAAAGCAAGCCTCTGTTCAGAACAGATTTGAGTGTGGAAATCCACAGTTTGACTGTGACAGAGAAACTGATAACATAGTTAAGACCAGTTTATCATAAGGAAGTGCGTCAAGTTTTTCAAACTTTTTTCCAGAAGAGCAGAGAGACAGTTACAGAAGCACTCGCGAGACGTATTACAGACACAGAAGTTGAAATCGCATCCTCACCGAATCAGAAATAAACTTGTGACAGCAAAGCTAAGCCCAGCAAGACTGTGACACCCTGTTCTGTATTAAGCCATTGCCCACATTGTGTATTTCCATCAAGAAGGACAGAGGCAGCATTTGGCCGGGGTTACGCTTAAGTCATCTAACAGCAACCTCTAGTGGCTCAGGGAGTTTCCTGA